CGTACATTAAGGATTTGTTCTCTAGTACCTCTGCCCTTTACAAATCCAGCCTGCTCAGGTGCTATTTGCCAACTTATGAAGTTTTCTAGACGCCGTTGCAGTATGTAGAGGATCACCTTACTAGCGTGTGATATTAGAGCTAATAGCCTGTAGTTGTTACAATTATTTGTTGAACCTTTCTTATGAAGAGGTATGATTATGGTCTTTCTCCAATCCTCAGGCCAGACGCCTGTGTGCCATATTTCATTGCACAATCGATGTAATATTTTTACTCCACATTCCGGAAGATGCTTCAAAACTCTGCAGTAATGAGATCATATCCTGCTGCTTTGTTTAACTTAAGTCTTTTTAAAGCGAATTCCACCTCGGAAAAAAGTATGTCAGGTTCAGACTCAAAACTAGTGTGGTGTGTCTCTGTTGAAGGAGAATGGAAAGTGGAGGTCTGGCAGTCAGGTACAAACGGGGCGTCCGCTGTCAAACGCCCTCCAAACATCAATAACCTTGTCCAAATCCGTCTGTACATTACCTTCATCATCTTTGATACACCAAGATTTCTGCTTGAATTTACGTGTGAGTTGTCTGACTTTATCAAAGAGTTCTTTGGTGTTATTTGTGTCGGCGTGTAGTTGAATTTCTATGCAGATTTTCTCTATATGCTTGTTTTTGTCTCGCCTACAAGCAGCCTGAATAGCTCTAGATAGCTGTCGGTACTGGGAATTCCTGAGAGGGTTCTCGATTCCAGCAATTTTAAGTTTTCTACGTTCTTCAACGAGGTCAAACGTATCTGCAGACATCCACACTTTTTTTGGTCCGGTTGAGACGGCATTAGACTGTGTCTCGCAGTCTAATTACGCAGGCGTAATATAGTTTTCATAAAAAACGACCACACTACGAGCTCAAACAAACAAATTCATGTATACTATAGAAACAGTGTTCCTGCAGGAAGTGTTTTTCTAGTTTATAAATTTGTTTAGAATTCATTGCCTTAATATCAATATTTTTGTTTAGGTTTAAAAAACAATTATACATATTATAATCTATTGTATTAAGTTGTGTAACACAGAGTCTGGAATATGGTATAATGATATGACTTTTATTTCTTGTATTGTATAGATGTTGATCCGCATGTGTTTTTACATCTTTATTATGAACAGTTAACAAAGTTTCAAATATATATTGAAGATAAAGGAAGAATGCCATACTTTTTATACAAGGGTTTACAGCTGGCGCGATATTCTGTCGAGTCAATAATTCAGATTGCTGCTTTTTGATAAGTGAAAACTCTATATGCATAGGACGAGTTTCCCCAAAGAAGTATGCAATATGCCAGGATACTATGAACCATTCAAAAATAAACTGACCTAAGAATATCTCGACTCACAGAAGTAGCCAATCTAAGTTCAATATGGTGCGACCAGTTCAACCTTGTATCCATAGTAACACCTAGTAACTTTACTGGTTCAGATGGTGTAACCCATCTATCAGAACTAAATACTATTGTCTGGGTTTTCTGCTCGTTTAACTTAAGTTTGTTTCAGTTAAACCAGGATTTAGATTTTTCTAATATTTCCTGACTGCAATCAGTTTTACCTCTATCTAATAAGGTTGTGTCATCTGCAAAAAGAACACAGTTGGTGTTATCCATTGCACTTTGGTAAATCATTTATATATATATCAAGAATAGCAGAGGTCCCAAAACTGATCCTTGTGGTACTCCGGTTGAAACTGGTAAAGGATCAGATTCTTGATTATTAAATGCAACAATCTGTGTTCTTCCTGTAAAATAGGATTTTAAAAGGTTATGTACCGTAGAATGGGGTGAATCGGATCGCTGTGGTGAATAGGATCAAAAGTACGGAATGTGTTAATTAAATCCACAATGTTTAAATAACGCGCCAAAACCGTTCCATTTCAGCGTGATGGGTTGCGATCATCATAGTCGCGTAAAGGTTGGTGATATCTCGACATGCGCAGCATGTAATACTGAAGGTCAACGCATAACCTAAAAACATTGTTAGTCACGTATTTTTGAGCGTACAAAAACTTTGTGGTAATAGCCTAAATAAGTGTTTCTGTGTCCAATAGGTTAGTAATTATTGTACACAAAGTAGTTTTTGTTCATTTTTTATTCCATAACAAACTGGAAAATTATTTGTAATTTGCTGCATTTGTTTTAGATATTTGGGGTGAATCGGATCAATAGCTGGGGTGAATAGGATCGATAGCTGGGGTGAATAGGATCAATAGCTAACGTAAATAGGACAATTAGCCGCTGTGAATAGGATCAAAAACTGGTCTAAATAAGGTTATTCTAGGTATCTACATCTTTGCTCAAGATGCCTAGAGTTTACAAACCTAAAGTTGGTGGGAAAATGTACAAAAAACCAAACCAACATGTCATTGATGCTGCGAAAAAGGATGTCAGTAATGGTTACAGTATAAGACAAGCCGCTAAAAGAAACAATGTTCCTTACACCGTACTCCATAGGCATCTTAAAAATCAAAATGTGCGTAATCAAGGAGGCCAGACTGTTTTAACGGAAGAAGAAGAAAGATATATTGCTGCTAACTTGCTCAAATGCAGTGAATGGGGTTATCCTCTTGATACCTTTGATTTAAGAATGCTTGTCCAGCACTATTTAAATAGAATTGGAAGAGTTGTTCCTCGTTTTAAAGATAATCTCCCTGGTAAAGAATTTACGTATAGTTTTTTAAAACGACATTCCAATGTGTTATCAGAAAGAATGTGCCAGAATATAAAACGAGCACGTGCAGGTGTTACGAGGGTGACAATTTCCGAATATTTTGAACATCTATCTAATGAATTGGATGGTATTCCCGCTAGCAACATCATAAATTATGATGAAACCAACCTTTGCGATGATCCTGGCAGGAAAAAAATAATTGCAAAACGAGGATGTAAATATCCCGAACGCATTATAAATCATAGCAAATCATTTACATCAATAATGTTTGCAGCTTCCGGTAGTGGAGTTTTACTGCCATGTTATATAGTCTACAAAGCGTTGAATATGTATGATTCTTGGACAACTGGAGGACCATCTCGGACCAGATACAACCGTAGCAAATCAGGATGGTTCGATAGTTACTGTTTTGAGGATTGGATACATTCCATTGCAATTCCATACCTAAAAAAGTTACCAGGAAAAAAGGTATTAATTGGAGACAACTTGTCCTCCCATCTTTCTGTAGAGTCCATAAAACAGTGCTCAGAAAACAATATAAGATTTATTTTTTTTGCCGAGCAACTCCACACACCTGACGCAACCTTTAGACGTTGCTTATTTTAAACCATTGAAAGTTGCGTGGAGAAAAATAGTCGAAACGTATAAGAAAGGACCAGGAAGGAAGGAGTGCAGTATTCCCAAAACTGTCTTTCCCAATCTACTGAAACAGCTGTTTGAGTCTATTGAGGCTAACAGTTCTAACAATATAAAGGCAGGGTTTGATAAATGCGGAATAATCCCTTTAAATTCTGATCGTGTGCTGCGTATGCTACCTGTGAAAGGCCCAGAAAATGAAACACAAGAAGAGGAGATCAACAACTCTTTTACTGATATTTTAAAGACTATGCGGTACGATGACAATCAGCCCAGACAGCGCAAAAAGAAACTTAACGTTCCCGCTGGTAAGAGTGTGGCAGTTGATGACGTTGAATCTTCTGATGAAAGTAGCCAACACTTTAGCACTCATGATTCAAATTCAGATATAGATTCCATGTCTTACTCTGAAGAAGACAACGCGTCCATATTTGATGAGAACGAAAAGTTTCTTCAGTCACCAGTTAACTTTGACCAAGAATCTGTAACGAATGGTCTTCATAAAGTTACAAGAAAAGCTATCAAGATTGGGGACTGGGTCCTGGTAAATTTGCCTTATTGCAAAAATGATAACAGACCGGGTACATCGAAATCTTTCAGTAGACTTTATATTTCACAAATTGTAACAATAACTGAAGACGGATATGAGGGAAATTTTTTTCGTGAAAAAACTGACACAAGGGATTATTCCGGATATATATACACATTTCCAGATGTAAAGGATGAGTACCTGTTTAAATTTGAACAAGTTGAGGGCAAGCTAGACTCCCTAGAAAGACATGGAAGAGGATCTTTTAGATTCCAAATTAATTTACAGGAATATTCTAAACAAATAAAATAATAATAACCTGTTCAATATTACTTCTTTAAAAAATGTTCATTTTTGATGTAATTTTTTTAACCTCCTTATAATTTTAAGCCAATTTTTAATCATACCTAACGAAATTATATGATTCTATTAACCACTAAGGTAGGTGAATGCGATTAAACATTAGAAAAGCACGGTCGATCCTATTTACCCCAGTGGCAGGTGAATAGGATCATTGAATAAAAAAAATTCTATAGTGCGCCACTGGGCAGTATACAACAAATTTGCACCGAAAATGATTAATACTGATGTAAACTAATGTTTTGATGTATATAGCTAAATTCTATGCCTAATAATCAGGAAGTTACACATTCCCAAAATTCAAAAATGATCCTATTCACCCCATTCTACGGTATGGTACCCCTTATTTCATAAAAACCGCCTGGTACCGGAAAAGGATTAGCTAAGGATTAAACAAACCGGCGTCTTTAAATAAGTAGATTCTTCTGTACTGAGGAGTTCGTGATAAAATTTTCTAATGGTAAACAAAACTACTCGCGTATATATTTGCAAATACTGTCATGGGCGTCTCAGCAACAGGGGTAAAAAGATTACTAAAAATTGTTTAGTATTTTAGTTATAAAAAAATGTTACAATTTGACTTAGAAACTGTCATGTATACACTAACTTGACAGTAATATTGAAATAATACAATTACAATGTGAAAAACCCTATTAATACTAAAGTACAACAATGCTTGCTCTCTATCTCTTGTTGTTCTCATTTTGGATCGTGTTATAACAGATTTTTTACGAAGTTTAAACAAATTTTAATCTCCCATTCTTTTTTAGATGATGTCTGCAATAAAATCTGGACACGTTGCTTATTCAAGATTCGCGAGAATGGCCGAATTAGAAGAAATCAAGCAAGAAACAGAATTACTAAAGAAGAAGGTATCAGTAGAACGTAGTGGAGGTGGTCTTTAAATCGTTCAAATTAAAAGACACGATTAAAAATCTTATTAACTGAAACGAAAGACATACTTATTTGAAAGGCAAACTTCTAGGTATTCTATTTTTGTCCATATCTGTGGCATAAATATTACAAAACTTTACCAAAAAGCGTTATTATATTATTTATTTAACGTTTATTATTAGTTGCATGGCGAAAGATTTCAGTAACAAAAAATATTCTCCCTTCTTTATTTCATTTCCATCTAAACCGTTGTTCTTCAAATGTGGTGCAACTATTCACAGGTACGTCTACTAAGGCTGTTAATTACAACCGGAATAAGCTTTAATTTCGTTTAGAGAAACATAAAACTGCAACTGATCCACAAAAATAGAATACTAAAACTTTGTATTTTAATATCATATGAAAGCATGGTTGTAGATTAGACTTTTCGGAAAGTTTCATATCATTTCATTGATGATCCGATTCTTACTACTTTTGTATTACACAAAAAATACTCAGGAATAACGCGTCTTTTCCACACAACTTAAATTAAACTCTTATTCATAATTTATTTACTGTTCAGTGCATTGAAAATCAAGTTTTCTCGTTTTTAAAATATCTATCTGTAATTGTGCAAGTATTCAAACTTTAACATAAAAATTTGAATAATGTGCTACCAATTTACATGGGTATTATGAGACATATGTGAATTTTTTCCGTTAAATTGTCCTTTCATCGGTTCGGTGACTCATTGGGCTGGCAGGTAAACTTCGAATGTAGTTTACAACTTTAACCTTTAACGGTTAGAATCACATGGCAACAGCAGAAATATTTCAAACGTAGCAGTATAAAACACAAAGAGCCAGAGGCTGAATTAGAAGTCACTACTAAAATGGAGTCAGCCGATCAATGAGTATACGGTGAGAGATGTGATCTCTCATCTCGGTGACCGCTCATTCATTCATTTTGACACTCTAGAAAACCGGAATATAGTACAGCGAAGTAAAAACATCGATACTTTGTTCCTAATAGACAGAGATGTAATAACAATTAACTTTCGTAAATTAAAAACTAGATTATCAAAAACCACTGGACATAAATTATCATCTAAGTATTTATTTCGAAACATTATTTATTGTATATACAACTTAGAGTAATTTTTGTTGATTATTGTTTTAAATAAAACTATCTAAATCGAATATTTTTTAATTTGAGATATTTGGTCCCCTTACAGCAAGTCCTGGCATCAACAACTTACCTTATCTACCTAAACGATCTGTTGAAACCTCAATACTCCGGGAGTATTGGATTTTAGGAAGTGTAGCACTTCCAAATTTCAGAAGAACTGGAAGAGAGGTGATGAAAATACTAAAAATATGGCTAAGCTCAGAGGAACAAAGTTAAATGGCCAAAGAGACACTAAATCTCAAGTGAGTGTTCGGGCTAGCTTCAATGCACTGAATTGTGGCTTTAAAGATATAAAGCGGATAGCAAGGATAATGAGCTAACGAGACAAGAAACGAAATAAGACCTGTTAATATCAAATGTGATACAACTAAAGAAGGTCACTGGGAATAAATTTATAGGAAAAAGGACGATAAGAAGAGAAGAAGAAGGGCGCCAACTCAACGATAGTTGAGATTTTGAAGTAACAAATGACTGGAAACAAATGATACTGGAGATAATAACCTGAAATAAAAAATACTAAATACTAATCTTGTCTTGCTATATTATATACTGGTCAGTAGAAACTGAAATAAAACTCAAAATAGTAACAATCAATGTATTTATAAAAACGTGTATATAGATATATAATATATGTATTAACAATTTACATATAATGCAAAACTAAATAACAGTGGTAGTGGGTGGTGTAAAGATACAATAGGACCTAATAGCCCCTCAACAAGCGAATAGTTACTACCACTGGCCAAATAAAGTGTGAAATATTAGTAAAAACCTAGAATAGTCCGTATGGTAGCCAAAGTCTTAACACTAAAAGTTAGTAATTTAATTTAACTTAGTTCTACAGTTCTACTAGAATGAGATACAAGTGACAGTATGGTAAAGATATCAAAATTGATAAATCTAATACCATTTATATCATAGATAAAAAGTGAGTTGTTACATATTCCTTATATAATGTTTTAAAAAATCACATGAAATTTATTTCCCTCCCCAATATCAAAATTGTATTATATCAAAATGTATTGTATTAAAAAAAATATTATATCAAAAAGTGAGTTTGGTCAGACTCTTTATATACTATTTAAAACCCTAATAAAAACATGAAATGTATTTTCCCTCCCCAATATTTTAGAATTATATTATATCAAAAATGTATTCACCTGATCATATGCATATGAAAAGTGTACACTACTAAATAGAAAGTAACAAAAAGGTTAGACAGTCAAACAACTTATCTTTACAGCACTATAAGTCCATAGGAAAACTCTTGGCACGGCTAAATCGGTTTGTTGCTGTAAAGGACAAATCCCGGGGAGTCTGGGCACAGAACCAGTCACTGGTCTATCTGCTCGGAGTAACGGCAAAATCCACGATAGTTGCTAACTATTTAAGAAATTCTATTACTAATATCCTTGAGGGAATATTCTTAAGAGAATACTCTCAAGTGACGGAATCTAAAAGAATTATCAGATTTAATTTCTATGTAATTTAATAGGTTGCATGGATTGACTGCACCAAAACAAAACATCAAAACATTAGGTTAGGTCAACATGTCAAAATTTCTAAAGTTACTTCGTAGACATGACAGGCTTGCGCCATGAAATGAACATGCGCAGAATACAGAAGGCTGTTCAATAATTGTAGAGCCTATTATATTCCACCAAAAAAAGTTAGAGAAAAAAAAGAAAACAAAAAACCCTAATGATACGACGTGGACTAAAACAGAATTTAAGTTTGACTATATAGAAAATGACCTTATGTTCTTTGCGAGTGAATGAAGGAAATTTTAAATTTAAATTATTTCGGAACTCAAAAATAAATCTCTAAAGAAATACTAAACTGCAATGATAAATTTGATTATATGATAAAGAGATAATACGTATGAAATTATTTACTTACATGTAGCCGCAGCACGCCAAAAAAATCTTCCTTTTTATGTGGAACTCTTATAAATGAATCTTGATTTTATTAAAAAAATTACTTATTATTATTATTGAATTATACATTTTTTATTCTTGTCCTCGATTTTCTTTGCTCCAATTCCGTCACTTTGAACGTGAGAAAAACTCACCGGTTGGCGTGTCTGCGTATACGAGTTCTGACCAAAACTGATCGTTCTCGCACAGACTCGACCAATCTTCCGTTCAAAGAGACTCCTGCGCGTGTGTGGAAAAATGTCGATTTAAAAATCGATCGCAGGCGGGTCACAAGAAGTTTCGCGAGGGGTTTATTAATACAATTTTTAACTCTGATAATATTGCACTAATCAGTAGCGTAAACGCTACACTGTCAGGTGACCAAACCATTGACTAATCGTTGTGTAAATGTACAAATAGAATACATAGACCAACGCAACAGATTCCGCCGATTAGAAAAGAAGATGGAACGTCGTCACGTGACGAAAAACAAAAAGCAGATCTGTTCGCGTACTACCCCTAAAGAAGTAACCGACGTAATCAAAGACAATATCAATCCCAAAAATACTTTGGGATTTTACTTAATAATAGGAAAAATAAGAAATGTTTCAAAATCTCGTAAATACGCATGCCCGAAAAAAGAAATGGACTCTAAAAACATGCACCATTTTAATTTCATAGGAAATTAGGCGACAGGGTAGGATTTGCACGTGCTAATAACATCGAGTATTTCCAATAAACACGACATATTATGTTTCTCTAATCTTAAGCCAGCGACTCACATTCCGATCTACCTGTTGAGGTAAACTTGTAGCAAGTGTACCTGTTCAGGCAGAGATCGAATTTGGCTATACATGTAGCGTCAAACCTGATGGCAGTCTGTCAATGTTTATTATTAACATGATGACACCGATTAAGCGTGACTACGACGACGCGGTAGCCCTAGTAGGTCTTCTTGCCATTCTCAAAAAAAGGAAAGAAAACCGAGACGAAAGTGGTGTAAAGAATGGTTGTTAAAAAGAAATTAATAGTCATATCAATTTGTTAAAGGAATTGAATATAGAGCCTGAAGATTACCGTAATTATTTCAGAATATATGAAGCCACTTACATTAAACTACTATCAATGATTACTCTATCAATTCAGAAGCAAGATACGATCATGAGAAAAGCAACAACACATGAGCGACTAGCAGCTACATTAAGATTTCTTGCAACAGGTAAATCATATGAATACCTCAAGTTCTCTACCATAATATCAGCACAAGCTCTTGGTAGAATTATTCCCGAAACATGTGAAGCCCTTTATAAAACTCTCCAGAAGGATTGTATGAAGGTATGTAAAAATAATTTTCTTAAATATAGATATTTATGTATATACATATATATATATATATATATATATATATATATATATATATATATATTATATATATATATATATATATATATATATATATAAGCGAGGTTCCTATAGCCTTTTCCGCCTCTCGCATTTCAACCGACATCGTTTTCTGTCCATCTATTCGTCTTCTTTGATGGCTCTCTATCTCATTATGTGTCGTACATTTTCTTCCCAGGGAACTGGAGGCCTTCCCCTTCTTCTTCTTCTTTGTTGTGGTATGTAATTTAAAGCTTTCTTTGGCCATCTATCTGCATTCATTCGCATGAACGCGCTCCGGAAGATTAGTAAAAGCTCCCATTAAGCTTGATCTCCAACGAGGGAGGACTATTTTGACCTTTCCGTTATATATTAATCCTGAATCGGAACAGTAGACACTTCTCGAAAAATTAGACTTGGGCATAGACCAAAACCATATAGATGGCGAACTCAATAATGACATTTAGAAGCTAAAAGGCGACATCTACAAATTCGAAGAAACTAAATACAACGTTCCGCACTATTGCCTCTTATAGTTTTCTTATTCAGTTAAAAATACAGAGTGCACATAAATGTGCACTCAGTGTGAAATATGTTTCGAATGTTTTTAGAAAAAAAAAAGGATAAATAAAACTGATAATTAACAAAAAAAATTTTTATTTATTCATTTAATTTTATAGTGTAAATTGAACATGGATATTTGCACCATACCACACGTAAGTTTTGTAAAAATTATTATTATCTATATTGAATAAAATATTAAAATAAATATAAACTAGGGCATCTAATTTATTAGTATTTTTCTACTTTAAAAACAAAAACAAGCCCTGATAAGAATACGATCAGACATTTGACCATCAGATCAGATTATTGACAAAGAAGTAGAAGTAGCTACAAATAAGATACAAGCTCTGATTGGTCTATGGACTTGGGTGAGGTTTAACTGCACTTCTGCTGACCTATTTAGAGCAGCGGTATCGAAAGTGCGAATTGCCATGATGGTTACCAACCTTCTTAGAAGAGATGGCACATGAAGAAGAAGGAGAGGTTGTCATGTCGATGAGCAGCTCCGAATGTCCACGCTACTATGCTTAATTGAATTGTATGTGACCGTTTTATAGGTAAATAAATAGTTATGTTTTGTTAGTCTGCGCTTCTTTAAATACACAACAGCCACATCTGCTGACGAAACTGCAATACTAACCGGCAGTGAAGCATTCGAAGAAACAATAAGACACCTCCAAAATGCAGTGAACAAACAATTTGAAATAATAAACGGCCCATGATTAGCGCCAGATGTTATTTACAGGAAGATAAGATTGTTTTCTGAAAAACAAGAAGGAATACTTGTGAACGGCGAAGTCATCAATAATTTGCGATATGCGGACGATACAGTACTCCTAGCTTCTAGTCAAGAAGATCTGCAAACACTACTTGATAGTGTCGTTGAGAGTTGTAGGGAGGCAGGTCTGGATCTTAACATAAGGAAAACCAAAATACTCGTAATAAGTAAACAACAGAATATAAAACCGTCGATATATGTAAATAATACCAAACTTGAGCAAGTTGATAAAATCGTCTACCTTGGACAGCAATTAAATTGTAATGCAGAAAATCACGGCGAAATTAGATCCAGAATAGAGCAGGCTAGAGCCGCTTTTAGAAGGATGTCCAAGGTGTTATGTAACAGAGACCTAAAATTGGCATTAAGGA